AGGCCATGACTTAGTATTTCCACTACACCTACCATCTTCCAAAAGCTTCAAACATCAAAGAAGCTTCTTGATACGCTGTGGAGCGAAGGCATATTTGAACGCTTCAGATGCAAAAAATATTAACTAACCTATTACCAAACTGCATGCACTTAGTAATTATGGGATACAAAGTATATAATACTGTATTTCTTGGCCATGAGTCCCTTCATGTCCTGTCGTCATTTTTATGCTATACATATCCTGCTGCCTAATCAATCAAGCTCTCTTTATAATGGAAGTTTTTAGTATTTTCATTAAAAAAAAAAAAAAAGCACTTTATCTCCATTTATCCTCAAGGTGTGGCCAGTTTAGAAGCTAGTGTAATAAACATAAGTATATGTTCAGCATAACTGAACACCTAAAATCATAGAATATGAAGAAAATGCACATTATTCTAATGTAAAGTCATTGAACTGACTGAAAATCTTCTTCAATACCTCACTGGTCTTGCACAGGTATGGGTCCTGATTGCTCAATAAACAGAACCGCAGGTCACTGGCACCCAATGCTGCGTCTTGTGATCAATGCTGCACCCCCATGGCCTCACACTTTGTTACAAAGTTACCAGACAGACCTGTGTCAGCTGGAATAGCCATGCCAATCTATTGCTTACTCCGCTGGGGCACTGGTTTAGGGAATGGGGAAACAGCTAATTTCATTATTGCTTTCCAATCTCACCATTAATTGCGTTTTACAAGAATAGCAGCTCCCAGGCAAAGGGAGATAGAGAGACAACCTTACACCACTGTCTGACTTACCTCCTTATTTCTAGCAGGAAAAAAACAAACAAGCAAACAAATATCCAGAGGAGATCAGAAGAAGGGAAAAACTAAACCAAATCAAAGAAACTGTAAAAAGAGGCAGTACTGATGACTGAAATGCTAACCAGGGTAGCCAACCATTGAAGCTACAGGTCTATGCACTTGTATGACTTCTGGTGAGGTCAGGAGGTTCTGTTATCTATGACTCCCTTATGAGGGGAAAATACACAATATAGACCTTATGCCTGTTTTGCTTGTGATACCAGCATGACTGACTACTGTGCTACTATGTTGATGTATCTCAGGTGTTTGAAGAACATTATATTGATTTTTCTTTGAGAATGCTCTGCAATACTTTCCAGGTCAATTATGCCCTCAGAAATAGGAGCAATGTAATTATTATGAATCTAATTTTTTTTTTCTATGTAACTGAAGTATGTATTTTGTAAAATACTTCAAGAGATTTTTGTCTGTTACAGGAGATGAAAAGCATTTTAATGCATTCATCATGAAAAACATCAGGAATTCTGGATGTTTTAAGTATTTCTTAAATTTAATTATTATTATTTTTTTTTTTATGAGTATATATTCTTCAAAGGAGTCTTGTAGTTGAGCTTTTCTGAAAGGTAGATATATTTCCACATGGAATAAGTGCCTTTCAAATACTTTCATATTCGTTGGAAATACTTTCTCCACTTGAGGCCCTTTCCTTTGAATTTCCTTGAATTTCTTTTCTCATTTCTCCCTTGCAGTGGGAGAAATGAGAGGAAATTCACTTTGCAGGGTCAGGAAGGCAAGGAACACTATACTGAGACAACCTTCCGTGATCACTCCTCAAAGAAATAGAAAAGATGAATGTAGTGAGTGACAGATAACACGTGCTTTAGTGTTCCATCACCCCAAGGAAGGAGTGGTTGAAAAGGCATGGAGATAATGCCACAGCAGCAAAAGTCCTGATATCTCCCAAAATTCCATAAAAAAAAAAAAAAAAAAAAAACAAAAAACTACACTGGGAACAAAGTCAGAGGTGGAAAACATTGTATCTTTGGCTTCATACAGAAGGAGAAAAAAATGGTTATAATCTTGAATGCATGGCCTACCTGCATCTCCTCAGGAAAATACCTCAGAATGAGGAGCTGTCATGAGCAGCAACTTCAGCAGAATTAAGTTACACCTCTCTAACATTATTGCTTCCCAATGGGACCTCACTTTCTCATTGTAGCCTCCCTTCCCACCATGCTCTCTACCTTCCTCAGTTGCTTTCCTAACGTTTATCAATCTCCTATCTGCTCTTCTCTATTTTGGGCATTTTGTTTACTTTTTCACACATATCTGCACTTCTATTTTGGTACTCTTATCTTTTGTGTGCGTATGTGTGTGTACAGTGGACGAGGTCACAAGGAGCAATCTTTTTAGACTCATTTTGTGGCAGGGTACTGACATATAGTTTTGCACTCACAAACCAATTATGGTAAAGTATCTGATCTCTCAAAAGACAAAATTTTCAAAACTATGTTCCATATTACTTGCTATTAAGAAATATTATCATCAGTATTCAAGATTAGCTGAATAAAATGTTAATAACCTGTTTGCTTCCATTCTGTTTAACTATTCTTAACATCTATACACTGTTATAAATAATTCACTAAAAATATGCTTTAAAAATAGAGTATTCAAATAGTACTCTCTAGCTGAAGAAGAGAACTGTGTTCAAAACAAAACACACCTGGTGAAAATATCATAGCTATCACTTGCTATCAAGTGACACAAATGTCCCAAGCCTAACCACAGCTGAACAGGGCAAGATATGTAAAGCATAACACAGATTGTTCTGTTGCTCATCATAGTACTTTGAACACAGCAAGTTAGCAGGCGTGAGTCAAAAATGAGTTCAAATTTCCTTTCATATTTATAGCAAAGTTTTTTTTCCTTGTAAAATAAGCTTCGATTTGTCCGAATGCCTTGAGCACATTTTTATTCAGATTTTAAGATTCTGTATTGCAGAGTGAAATCCAACTCCTGCAGCAGTGGATTGAGCTTCTTTTTACCAGATTGTTCACTCTTAAGCAGTAGCAGAGCAGTTAACTATTTTAATTGGCATTTCCAACAATGCTACATTTTGTGCCTGGATCACTCTTTTAAGATAAAATACACTGATTTTGCTAGTCATTCTCTTGTGTTTCCATTTTAGAAGATTTCTCCCTTGCTTTCCTGATGCAATTCAGTGACAGCTGGTCTGACATGCTTTCCTCTTGCTTAGGAGCCATGTCAAAAGCAGCTCTGATAGCCTGGCTCTTCCTTTCAGCAGAACACTGTAGCACTGCCTACATATTTTGTATCCAGCAGCCAGCATTCACCACTCTTACTCCCCAGAATGGAATTAGGTCACAGATGGGACACTCTGGGAATTCATAATGCAGAACCCCATCTCAGCCTTGAACCCCTTACTTTGTGTCAAATGTCATTCAATAGGCTCTGCTCCAAATCTCTGCTATTTCACATCTTTTTATGTCTCAATCCCAACTTTAGTTGGGAAGTAGAATAGGAAGCTTTATGTGGAAAACTGAATTAATAATGCAAGCAATCCAAGGGCTTGGCATGAACGGACCAACTGAAGCCAACTGTTGACTTTGATGGAACCTGACCACTTGAACTCTAATGGTAACTAAGGAATAATAGGTTGAGTGCTATTAAAAAATGAAGACAAAATCCTGCTTATTGAAACGATGCAGCTTTTATCATCCAGTTTCCAAGAGCAGCCTGTCCATAAGGAAACAAGCAACTGCAAGAGACATTGCACAAATGCATACAGCTCTTGGCAAGTAAAAGGAGATCTGGGTTTATTTCACCCTTATGAAAAGTCCACAGTCTTTTTGCTATTACTTTGTCAAGGGGAGTTTTGGTATTAAAACAATCCCAATCCTTTCTTTACTAAGTTGTAATGAAATACTTGTGTGAGCTAGCAAAAATAATTTGATGTGTTCAAATCAATTTTCCAGTGAATAATCTTCCTGTCAAAAAAAAAAAAACCCAAAAAACAGACTCTTTACAAGGACTGACATCCTTGTTATCAGCCTCTATGGATTTAATATGCTGAGCAGAGAAGAGCAGCTGGGAAGATGTTGGAGAAAATGAGCTCCGTTCAGATACTTGGAGTCCAGTGGGGTGAAGCACTGTAGTAGAACAGCCTGGAAAGGATGCCACTACTTACCCACGTCAGTTCTCTGGAAAAAGAAACAGCTCTGGCTTCTGCATCTGTTAGTCTGGCACCTTCAACAAGTAATTAAATCACACTGTAGATTTGTATACATACTTAGATAAATAATAAATGACAGCTATCACACTGTCATGCAAGCATGCATGCATACCCAGGGCAGGAAATCACATACAGTATTTCATTTGTTGCCAATTTATCTCGAACACAGTGAGGAAGATGCCCCAGGGACTGGTGACTAACAAGGAGCATTGTTTATGCTACAAATCCCATCCGGTTATTAGTCTTTGAAAAGTGTTTTGTTTAGCTTATCAGTGCTTCAGCAGGAATGCCAGGGGCATTATTTTTGTACTAAGCGTATTTCTATTCCAATATTACTGACTCCCACTCAACCTCTCCATAAGAGGTTGTGTGTTTCTCTAGGGCTGAAAATTAGGCACGTGCTTCAATGCCTTCTTGAGTCAGGATCAGGGTGGTTAGCACTGCACAAAACCAAGGCCTTGACAGGTTTCCTTATTAGTTTTGCTTCAGTAAATTGGAGAACATCTTTGTAGAAATCAAGCCTTTCTTAAGGACTACAGAGCATGACAAAGAATAAATACCTTATGAAGTGTATATGCTGATAAATTAAAAATATTTTAACAAGTCAGATCTGCTTAACTTCCACATTTTGCTTGCTTCATTGGATGATACTGTGTTACTCAACCTGATTCTGCACTGCTGCAATACCAAAGTACCACAAGTGTCTGGCAAGTTTTAAGCCTCTTTCACAACAGTACTACAGTTGATCGTTTGTCCACACAATTGATAGGCTGCTATTTTTTCAGGTTATCAAACTGCCTTGCAGCGTGCCCTTGATCCAGTTAATATTTAAAAATAGTAACGCAATATTTTTATTACATTCCGGTATCTTTTTGTTCATGTTCAATATCTCCTGGGAGGAAAATTTAGAGTTGCTTTTGTTTGTTTTACCCAGGAGACTCCTGTTGGTTTGGTTTTTTTTAAAGCAGATTTGCTTTATGGAAGGGAACAAAAAACCCTCGCATTTCCTTCATAACCTTATTTAGAACATTTGAGAGACTCTTGCCATGGGGAAGCAAGTTAATAATTGACAATGACACCTAGCAGGCCTGCATGAATGATTCCACACCATAACACTGACAGCTGGCATAACTTACTGAGCTCCTCTCAAACATTTCCACAAAGAGGAATGGTAAGATAAATTTTATGTGCATTTTCTGAACCAAGGCAGGAAATGTTTATTAGAATGGTTATTCATAAATAATTGAGGTATTATTAATACTTTTAATCATTAAATTACTTTCGGAAAATTTGTACAGGTAAATTCTCCTTCGTAAAACATCTTATTCTTATTTTACTTGTGATCTAATTTAAATAATGAACTGTCCAATGCATCATCACTGATCATCTCAGTTGTCCTGTAACCAAGGCAAGGAGTAACTGCTCACCTATCACAGGAAGCAGTTCTGTTAATTGCTTTTTTCACTTAAATTCCTTGTTTTCAAACAGGCTGACTCATCAGTGATCTTTAAAAGCATCGCTGTGGGAAAACTGAAAGTGCAGTGAGCTGAGCTGTATTGCAGAAATAAAGTTGTTACACCTAGGAGCTTCTGGCTTTATAATCAATGATAGGATTACTCTGCAATTTCATGTTTTTCTCTTACATACAAATATGAAACTGTACCAAGTCTAGTGACATGTTAGTAATACAGGCTTGATTTTGCTCTACCAAAGTTTCCCTGAAATGCTCACTTTGCCTTTTGAGCCAAAAGCTGTATCCAAATTTGAGAAGACCTCCTCCTTCCCCTGCCCTCTCCTACCCCTCAGAAAAATTGACTCTGTCACACAGGGAACTTCTGTTTTGAAGGGCTTCAAAACCTGAGCTCTGATCAGGAACTCCCATGGAGAGTTCCACCCCAACAGCCAAAACACCTGTGGTGCTCACAAAGGAATATAAATATGAAGACCTGATTGTAGCAGAACTTAAAGCTGCTTGGAATGTTAGAAGTGACAGTTTTAATTCCGCTGTTTCTGGATTACATGTTGAATTAGTGTATGAGAAGAAGATCCCTAGAGGTCTTTTATTTTGGTCACACTAAATGTTGTATTTTGTTATGACTACTTAGTGCCATCAAGAACAAACAGGCACAAAATGCTGGCTGCCATAATCACTGCTTCAGTCTCTAATTCAGTCTTCAATTCAAATGTTCCAAGGCTGGCTCAAGATTTTGGAAGGGGGAAATTTATTCTGGCACATAAATATCCGTATCAGATATTGACTGCCTTCTATCAGGTCCATCTGGACAGTCTTCTTCTAACCAGCACAAAGCCATCTCAAACACAGCTTCAAGCATTTGAACTAAATGCATCTGAAAACTGATTATTTGCACAAAAATCTATTCAAATAATGAAAGATTCGACTTGTTTTTCCTAGCCTGTCTACTTGGGACAAGCATAAGGCACTGACATCTTTGTTGAAGGCGACTCAAATCACTTGATTACTGTAAGGATGCCCCCACCAGGTCACACCAGGCCCACTTAGCCCTCTGTGCTGCAGTGGATATTTACAGAAGAATGAAGAAACAGGCAGTTTTATGAAGCTTCCCCAGAACACTCTTTCAGTGTTAGAGGTACCACCTTTCTATTTAGCAGCACACGATGCCCAGTACCTATTGGATTCAGAAATCTCCAACATCCATCATAAGCCCACTCACTGCTTCCTTATCTATATAAAGAAATGCCTATTTCTTCTCGTGGAACCTAACACCTGTCAGTCACGAGAGCTGGACAAATTTCCCACATTGCTTCATTCAGTAAGAGAAAGATTATAAGAAAATGAAAGTTGCTGCTTTGTGACATTCAAATGATTTTTCTGCATCTGTACATGCAGATATTCTTCATTGGGTGTCACTATCAGAGGATCACTGGCTGTTTCCTTGCTGTAATTCATAAAGCCCTAACTTTCATGTTCTCAGCATAGAGCTTCTCAACACTTGGTTGATGAGGAGCTTACTTCAGCAGCCAGAACTGGTATCATACAGCAACGTAGCAACATTCAGTTTTCCCATTTTCTGAATAGCACAAACTTCGTTCTGCAGATTTGCCCATGTTAAGTCAGCAGAAGATGAATCATTGGAAAAGTTATAATCATTCATCCTTTAGGAATCATATAGCATGTTAATTGCTGTACAACACATTCTAATACAAAATACACAAGTTAGTTTCAACTTGTTGAGACTGCAGAGGGCAAGAATGCTGCTCACAATTTCCATCAGTTACAGTCTGGGAATGCTGGGTTTCCCTTGACTCAAGATAATCAGAAACACATTTGCTTTGTTGTGAGACAAAGGAATGTGCACAAAGAAAAGTGTGTAAGTACTTCACAGAAATAGCATAGCTACCTCATCAGTTTATGTAGTACATGGATGTGTATACATATGTTTACAGACACAGAGGTTGGGAACTCCAAGCAGTTCCTCAGCTGACATAAACTATTACAGTTTATATCAGTTGAAATAATTCACTTCTTAATCTATACTAGTACTGCATAGGAAAGCAAAATACAGAACTGTTCAGTGCTTATGGAGTTTAGATAATATTGTGTCAGAAGATATTTGCCCAGAGGTCATTTGTCACTCTACTAGACTTGAGTTACCTCCGACACCAGTCCTTCCTGTAGGATTACAGAAATAATTTCTTTGCCCAATTTTCACCATCTGCTGAGGTAACTATTAGTTGTGCCAACACGTCTATTTACCTTCTGTGATTCTTTGCTAATTCATAATAAATGATTTTTATTAAACTGAGTGTGTCAATTGCAATAGTACTTTACTGAAGACTGCACCACTTCTCTTTCAGGAATCACTCCAAGTTCAGCAACCTAGTAATCACAGTGACTTCAGCTGCCCCATCTGTCTCCAAACAGTGACTCTGCCAGTAGAAACCAACTGTGGACATCTATTCTGCGGTAAGTTTTCTGAGTAGAAAGTGCAGTGCTTATAAAGGCTACTAAACGCAGCACACTTCCCACAGAGATATCAAATCCTGTGCAGGAACCATTCTAAGCATTTCTCCCAGTAACTAAAGGTATGAGAAGCAGCTGAGTCCCCAGGTTTTTCAGCTCAGAGAAGAGGAGGCTGAGAAAAGGCTTTATGGCAGCCTACATTTTTCTCACAAGGGGAGCAGGAGGCTGCACTGATCTCTGCTCTCTGGTGACAGCAGCAGGATCTGACAGAGCTGTGTCAGGGGAGGGTCAGCTGGGTTAGGAAAAGGTTTCTCACAAGAGGGTGGTCAGGCACTGGAACAGGCTCCCTAGGGCAGTGCCCATGGCCCCAAGCCTTCTGGCATTCAAGAAGCCTTTAAACAACAGTCTTAGACATATTTAAATTTTGGATGGTACTGCGAAGTGCCAGAAGTTGGGCTCCATGATCCTTGTGGGTCTCTTCCATCTCAGGATATGTTTCTATGATTTCTGAAGTAAATTCCCTCACTAATAACAAGTTTAATCTTTTTCTGTTTATTGCCTTCATACTTACAAGGGGCCACTTTTGAAATGCCCAGGAAGACACAAGGCAAATAGTAACATAATTTTGTCAGGTGCTGTTAAATTACAGCACAAACTCATGGACTAATTAAAAGGCCTAGAAACCCAGTTTGTGTTCAAGTATGTGGAAATGAACTTAGTTTCTCTCAGACCTCTGACATACATACTCCAGTGAGTTTACAGGCAAAGTTTACAACCTTACTGCCCCAGCTGCTTATCGAGTTCCTTGCTGAATGCTGTCGTCACTCTGCAGGGGGTGACAGTAAAGAACTGGAGTTTATGATCTAATGAGGTTGAAACTGCCACTGAAGGCAGCTCAGTGCTCCTGTGCAACATAACATCAGTAAACTCTGGCAGAAGGTCACCCAGGCTGCTGGAGGCAGTAATATCTGATTCTCCAGCAGCAAAACATATCAAAATGCACTGGGCAAAAACATAAAGCTCTTTCCTGTGCTTTTCAAAGACCTTACAGCAAGTTTAATTTATAATTACAAGCCACTGACACTTTCTTCATCGTGTAAGACTGCAAGAAAAAGACATAAGCAGAAATGAAAACAAGGCCCTGTATTACACCTGTTGGTACAATAAGAATTAATTTTGTTTTGAGGAAGTGTCATTTTTCTCTAGATTGAAATAATGCTCTCTCAGACCAGCCCCTCATCAACACTGCTAATATCTCCACCCTCTGAAGCCACAACAGATCAGTGGGGTGACAACAGCTACAGGCATGCTGTAGGGCCCATCTACAACATGCATGACACCATTTAATACCTTAACTTTTTTCATGTTTTTTTTACTACACACTACTACCACAAAGGAAAAGGATAGTTTAAATAAAACTCACTCCAGAAGAAACAGTAAGCTTATGGCCTCCAAACATATTTCAAATAATGTCACAGAAGTTACAGTTTCAAATACAAAGATAGACACGATGACAGATGTCATTAATTTTCCTCCTTCTCTGACCTAGTTAATTGTCCATTTCCCCTTTGTAAATATGACACTGTTACAATCAAAAAGGTCAGCACAGTGGAAAGGTGATAGACAAGCATTACAGCAAAAGGACCAGCACAGATGCAATGGTGTTACAAAGGAGAAGTACTCACCCATGTCCAAGGATTCAGGCTCACAGAAAAGACTCCACAAAGAAAGACTCTCCCATCAGAAACCCTGCCCAAGGGGCAGTCAGCCCTTAAACGAGGTCTAAGAGAGGTGCAGCCAGGCTCCACCCCTTCCTGTCTCACAGGTGAATTGCCTTCACCTGTGCTCCCAGGGCTGACTGGGCCTTTCCCCAGGTGCTCCATCAGTGCTTCATGCTGTGATTCAACAGTTACTCTACAGACATAACGATCTGGGCTTTATTTTTATTTTGAGGTTTGTGGAGAAGTACCATCTATAAGCTTGGTATACATTATCATTAGCTGTATCTTTTTAAATAGGCTTTACATTCCCCAAATACATCATCATTTACACTCTGAAGCATAAATTCCAGTGCAGTGCATTATCCATGCTCTGACTATGTTGATGTAGTAGAAGCGTAATGTGTCTGTTTTTCATGTCTTAAACCAATAAAATTTTACATTGGGCTTATCAAAACCATTCTGCATAGATCTAAGTCTGTTGTGACTGAAATCAGTAATAAAACTTCTCCCAGTACCCCATGGAACAGAGCTAAGGCAATGCTGAGCACTCTTAATAAATTCCACTCCGGTAAAAGTTTTATTTAAAAAATGTGGTCAACCCAGAGCTTTTAAAGAAGATTAATATGGGCTTATAAAAAGAAAAACAAAACATTTGATTTTATTATTAGTAGTAATTCATACAGTTTGTCCTGAAGTTTTCCTTTTCAGCTTCAGTTTGAACCATATGCTCAGGAAGTTCAATTGAAAAATGATCCTTGTGCAATATCATTTTTTTCTAATTAACAAAAACCTCAAAGGTATTTTAGAAAAACCTATGGACTCCCTCAGAAGGCTGTGCAGCAGGCTAGATTAAAACAGGATTTTGCCCATTTTATGAAAAATGCACCAAAGCGCAAATAGGTCAACTTCAGAGGAGTCCTTCCCTTCCTGTCCCACTAAACACAGGATTTTGCATGTACCAAATTTTAATTTCCATGGGGTTCTATTTTTAAAGCCCTCAAAGAACTGTGAGATCCATTAGTACCCCGTTGTCATCACTGGGACTGAGTATAGGCACAACTGTGTGGCTCATGATACAGGATCTGGATCCAGAGGGTCAAAGCAGTTCCTGAAGTCAGGCATGATGGCTGTCAAATGCAAAAGTTCAAGCAAAGGCTTGAAGCTGGTTGCCAGACTGAGTTCATATATACCACATGAGGATTTAGATATAAATGCAGCAGTGAGCCCAGCTAACTTTGTCTGTGCAAACAAACTAGAAGAGCCTGAAAGAAAAACCCTGCACTGAAATAAAAACAAAGTGCACAAGTCAGAGCAAGGTTCATGAAAATATCCTTAGGGCAAATGTATCATCCCTAATATAGGGATGTCCTCTTTAGGAGGTAACTGACAGCATGAACATTTTTTATACTTGACTTCAGACATGTTTCTCCTCTAAAATCCTTCTTTTCAATGACAATGCGAAAAAAAGTCTAGGTACAAAAAAGGCTGCAGTAAGGGCTCCCGAAGACTTCCTTCTGTAATACTTCTTAAGCTACTTACTGGTTGTTTTTAAAAAGAAACACCATTGTTCAATGCAATAAAACAATCCCAACAAAATGGCAATACAGTGTTTCACTGCTGCTTTCACTCTGATCTTTGTCAAATTTGATCAGTTTACATGTTAAGAGATACTTTTTCTTGACTGTCACACTGAACCTGGGAGCTGAAAGTCAAGCTGTGCTACTTCTGATTAGATGCTATTTATCTTTTGTTGTTTTTGCTGTTAGTACCAGCACTGATATTCATGTATGTCAAGCACTGCTATCAGGGACGTGCACAGGCTAACGTTAGTGTCCTCAGACTCTGCCCTCTTCAACACCTGAGAGCTTGCTGTTAAGATGGCACTGCATTTGGAAATTAGTTAGCAGTTGTTCTGGTAAATCAAAAAGAATGCATTAATTAACTCTTCCACAGTGTACACACAGTACTGTGCAATGCATACATGTATGTACACATACTGGAAGGGTCCTTGTATTCCCGAGTGCTTCATCCATAATCAAGGAAGCTGCAAGAATAAGATACTAAGACACTCAGAGTCTTCGTTAGGGGGAAGTTCCATGTTGCTGTATATATCAACACAGATCTACAGTCCGTTTTTACAGTTTGCAGAGTAAAACCACATCTTAAAATGAAAGCAAAGAATTACATTCATTTCAGCAGTCAGCTGTAGAAAGAATGCTTATTAATTCTGATAACATTCTATGAACATTAAATATCCTCAAATATACTCCATGCATCTTAACTTTTTTTTTCTGTAGGCTCTTGTCTAATTACATACTGGAAACATAGTCCTTGGTTAGGAGCAATAATCTGCCCTCTCTGCAGACAGAAGGTAAGACATCTTCCCTGCATACATCTGCATTGCAATAAATAGAAAATGACAAGCTTGAGCTCTTAGGATCAACTTTATTCATCCTCTAATTTTCCATTGCATTTCAAAACTCACAGTTGAATGACTCTGCAGCCAATCACATTTATAATTTGACACATCTTATCAGGCAACAAATATTAAACAGGCCTCTGGCATTTTACTTTTGTATAGTTTATTGAATCTCTGGGATAACATTCCGTAAAAAGCAATACAGGACATGGGACTCCCTCATCTCCTTCGACCGCTGCCAGAGCCTGCCTGCTGTACTGGCAGTTTGGATGCAGGTCATAAAAGGAAGATGTTCTTGCTGTTGCAGAACTGCTGGAACTGTACAAAGGTCAATGTGCAATAAAGAGCCTATGAAGAGACGTGCTACTAAACACTATCCTTCATGCTGAAGATTAAAACACACAGTGGTAATGCCTGTATTCTTTCCTTATGAAGGTGGTGGTTCTGGTTAACATCTCTTGTGAAAAGCTACACGATAAGCCAAGTAAACAGACTGTTCACGACATCAGAGCGTACAACAAGCGTTTCTCAGGGCAACCTCGACCTGTAAGTATTTCTGAATCTACATTTATGTAGTTAGCACTGCATAACACACAGAGGATTGCAAGAGACTCAACAATGAAAGCTGGTTTGTCTCAGTATGTGAATTATCTTTTTATACACTCACTGATGATATTACAGGGGAAGTGTTAACATTCGCTGCTGGAGACAGCATCTTCTAGTAATGGTGCTTCTCAGAGTTTCTAGATCAGAGAAATCACTCTGCAATCATCCTAGCAGGGAGGAGAAGGCAGTGCAAGATGACACTTAGGAAGTGAAGCAGAATTAGAGAGAGTCAGTATAAAACTTTCACGTTTGAACTTATATTTGGACTCCAGGAGCTTAAATTACATCTAAGTCTTTTGTTCCAAAGCAGATCCCAGCTTAGAAAGCAGCTGTTGTTTTTTTTTAATGAGGTATTGCCAAATTCAAACAGTCTACACTGGCTCTGTACTTCATTAAAGCTGGAATCCCAGATGGTGTGGGGACGTGACAGGTACTGGAAGTGATGTGAAAGATGAGGGCTGGAGGCATATGTGAGACCCATTCTTGACAGCACGCAGAATATCACCAAAGCAAATCTTCCTATCCTGTCAAATCCCAGTGGGGGGCCCAAACAGGACTGTGGAGTCTGCTTTAATCTGTGGACTAAACTAAGCACTGTGCTTAAGAATGTTATTTTCCAACCCAACAAATTAGTATTAACGAGCAGGAATGATTATTATAATGACTCAGTCCTACGTTTCCCATCCACACTAAAGTGAGACTTGAGGCCTCTTTTTCATGTACTGATAGCACACACTTGATGCCAGACTTTAAAGAGAGCACGTATACTCAAGACAGCCATTAAGGACCAGTTTCCCAAAGTGTCAAGCATAATGCCCTGTGCAAAGTGCCGGGGAAGTGAGGATTGCCTTAGGAGTGTGCCTGTAGATTCTGCAAAATAACTGACCTGCCTTGGTGAACTGGGACAGCACAGAAAGGCTTTGCATTCAAGAGATTTGAATCTAGAAGTGCTTAAAGACTCGTGCAACCAAAAGAACTGCATGGATTAGAACGGAGCAGAGCTTAACTCTTCTGCATGTTCAGTTTGCAGATTACCTCTATGACATGCCGTTGTTCCTGACTCTTGCCTTGCGAGGAATCTTCACCTGGGGTGGTCTCATGTGCATTTTTTTCCTAAGAGTTGTTGTTTGCTCCTTTGGAACAATCATATGCTTATCATCACCTTTTGACACGATGCCTGGGCCTCTCTGTAGAACACTCGGAACAGCTGATGACATGGTGGTTGTTTCCCTTCTTCTCATTTGTGTGATAAACATTTGTCAGCAAATTGCAACAAACGGGGTAAATATGGCAAGGTCTGCAGCTCAGAGGATGCTGTCAGAATCCTGAGGGACTCAAACTTTGATTTCTCAGTCAAACTCAATCAAACAGTGACAGGCTTCTCCTCCATTTGGGGCAGCATGTGACAGATTTGTCATTCTGCTGCGAAGACTGAAGCAGGGCTCAAGTGATATTTGGCATGGCCAAGTGATTCGATGTGCAATTGCTAAGAAGGCCGTGCCATTGTGTATTTACAAGACTCTGTCATACTTCATGTGTCTCCAACTTATCCTCATACGCAGTGCCTGAATTGAAAATGCCTAAGCCTGTCAACAGGACCTAGAATTACAATGCCAGTCAGCTGGCAGTTGAGATTTTTAGAACTTTTAAGCTTTGACATTTCATGTCTTGGTTCAGTTTGAATATAATTTAATTTGAGAATTTAGCAAGCTGCTGTTTGCTAGGTCTCAGGTAACATAAGTAACGTTAGATAATACTTCTGCAAAATCTTGTGTTGGTACTTTTTGCTATCACAGCTGATTACATATCCAATGGAATACAGATATTTTCAGCTCTGCTATGGGTACAGTCCTGATTCTAAAATTGGACAATATGAACCTGATCGTAATACGGGCTTGGAGCAAAAATACAACTGTAAAATGGGAGTATTACAAGGGGAGAATGGCATATAAGGATCATGCAAGAAGTGTGGGCAAATCTCTGTGTAAGCCTTTTGTCTGAACCTACACAAAGTTACAGCTTTGGTGAACTCTGTCCTCTTAAGCTTTAACAAAGTCAGTATGAATGGTTGTTTCCTCTGTGGACTCCAAACACTCCTTGTGTTTTCCTTGCAAGTCTTGGTACTACTTTAGGGAGAGATAAAGGCTACATTTCTGATGATAAAGAAGTTTATGGAAAATCTGCTGAAGTTGCTGTGTGTGTTGAGTGTGACAAGTTAAAAATGCTGGTAGTGTGCCAGACAAGCCTAAGCATCTGTCACTGTACAATCTGTACATTTGTTATGTATTTGGAGTCAGTGAACTTCATTTTTACATATGAGTTGTATATTAAAATTGATATGTTAAAATATATGAATATTTATTGTTCACAATACACTGGTCTCCAACTGTTTTTTTTCTTTTTACACATTTTCAATTGACATATTTTATTGTACCCTTCACTGTATGCTATGATATAGCAGTATGTCACAGTTATTCTCTTGCTTCTTAGACTCTTCTTGTAACGATGGTTTTTTTCTTTCATTTTGTTCCCATCAACTTTCATTGTCTTTAATTATGTCCCTGAACTTGTAAAGCTGTCTCTCTTAACAATGGGTACTTTGGAAATGGCAACAATTGCTTTTCCATGAAGTATAAGGCAGGAAGTGCATTGTTTCTTTAAAAAAAATTCCCAGATGTTTTTGAGTGCTGACTACAAACATGTAAACCTCAGAAACCAGTATTTTCCAAGTTCTATAAGTGTAGTTTTGTTATTGTCTAACTTCTGTTTGCACTTAACTGGGAATAAAAGCCTATGCCAATAGAAAAGAGTGGCTTTGCTATCAGTTGAAATGTATAAGGATGGAGTCCATTTTTATGAATGTTCACTCTGTGGGCTCGTAAGTTGTTTCTGTGGCATAATAAAGGCTCGCCATGAGGGCCACAAACTGCAGTCTGGAGAAAAGAAGGGCTCTCATTAGTGACCTATGGCAGAGTTACAGCCCCCAAACAGAACAGCATCTTTTACTAAGAAGTAAAAGACAAAGGGCAGAGAAAGAACTGCAGAGAATCTCACTGAAGGTCTTGGCAGTGTTTGGATCTTGCAAGATCAAAACAGCATTCTCCGAGGTGAAATGTTTCTGCAGTGTACAAACAGAGCACCCAGCTCCATGAGCTCCATCCAGAGCATCTACTTCCATGGCCAGCCATGCCGTGAGCTGATGTTGGGAGCCCTGCAGCTTCCCGTAGGAATAACTGTCCAGCACAGTATTTAAAATCACCTGAAACAAAGTGAAAGCCTCTTGTTGACCAGGATTGGCCAGCAGGCAGCCAGGAGGATGTCCAGGCACAGACAAAGGCAAGCCTAAAGAAGGAAAATCTCTCTCTCCCTCTGCATTCTCTGTACCTGCTGTCAGTGGGCACAGCTCTGTGCCTGTGAGTGTGCAGATACACAGGTTTTGAGCTGAGATTGTGTGTAGCGACGTGGTAAGAACAGGCATGGAGAGCTGGACTGTTGCAGGACTGAGGGTCGAGATGCAGCTGGCAGGGTGGAAGGAATGCTCCTGCATTATGAACATGTTTGCAGCAACTCTGCACAGCCTCATCCTTCAGTATCAACAGCGGGCTGGCTCACTTCTGCACAGAGATTCACATGCACTGAGAGCAGGTTACTTGCAAGAGACAAAATGACTCAAATTATCAATAGCAAAACCACTATACTACAAGAATTGAGACAGAAAAAAGAGCAGGAAACAAAAAAGCAGAAGGAAAGACTGCACAGCTGCAAAAACAATGTCCAAGTATGAGCCACCAAAGATATACTATAATCAGAGTAAAAAAATACGAAACAGAACACTCCAATGGAAATGATGTCTCAGCTGTAGCTGCAGCAGGCACTACAAGGACCACGTGTGCAATACCTGTGCAAAGCACAGCACAGGGGCTCAGATCCACCCGAGCCAGCGGTGCTGCTCCTCGTGCTGCTCTGCGAGGCCGCCTGCAAGCAGCAGCACCGCGCTACCCACAGCTGGCTCTGATTCTGCACAGCCCCACTGTGCCTGGTGTGCATGGTGACAGGTAGAGAACACCCCGTACTTCGTAGCGAATAGAGTGCATTTTATTGCTCCTTAACAACAAAAATGGACATTTCAAATGATAAAATTGTATTTTTACAATGCATGGTGCAGTAAGATGAATTTACCCTCATCGTAGGCATTTATCCCTGCCGTTCAAAGAGGATGCCACTGGATTAGGAGCTTTTCATGATGGAGCGATACTCTCTCTGATGTTCCACAAGTTTCAAAAATACTTCATATTTCTTGTCGTAGAATCTGTATAAACAAGTAAATTTCAACAAAGCTTGAGAATTTAAGATTTAAATCCGTTGTAATACGCATACTTAGCATCAAAGCAGCTCTGACTCTAATAACAAGCTTTCGGATGAGTCCTGCATACTGCCAGAGCGTTCTCCACCCAACGAGAGACTCCAAGTTAGAGCCAAGTTAGAACCAAGTTTGGTTTCCCCGCAGCCGCCTCTGATGTTCAGTTCTCCCGGAGCCCCCAGACGCTCCCAGCTCCAGCCGGGCCACCAGGGGGAGCCCGCGCCCCTCCGCCCAGCGCCGTTCCGAGCCCGGGCGCCGAGCTGCCAGCGCCGCGGGACTCGGCCGGGCAGGCGCTCGCTGAAGCGCAGCTTGCACCGTCCCAGCCTGCAGGCACCTCCCCAGCAGCTCAGCTCATCTCTCGCCCTGCGAGTGGCACCCGCGAGTGGCAAGCTGCGGGCCTGGGCAGATATCTATAGGGTAAGGGGCTTCCTGGGAGTAGATCACCACCTTCACCGCGCTGAAGAGTTTGGGTGCCCATGCGATCTTTAAAAACCGGCGGTCATAAATGCTGATGCATTCAAGAAGGGCCAGAAAGACAGAGCACAACTCAGTTTCAGGTAGATTCTCGTAGGTGAACACACAAACATCAGCATTACCTTTTGTGCTCATGGTTCGGTCGCACGACTCGCCCGATTTTTCCCATTTTTGCCATGGCCTCCTAGTAAAAGACAAACACAAGCTGGAAAAGCCTGTTTTGGTTTAAAATACTTTTTGACAAGAACAAGATGTTTCAAAACCAATCGGAACATTACTGATGTATTTTGTTTCGACTGAACAGGCCAGATGGCTTAAAATATGTTCAATCCCATAATATAGTAGTCATGAGAACAAAGTACTGCAGACCTCTCAGTAAACCAAAATCTGTTCCTCTTTCTTACTGAGAGTCTGAGACAGAACAGACTTATCTTGTATTATTTACACTAACCAAAGGAAATGTTAAACACTGCATCCCTGGAGGGGAAATTTCTCAAATAAAACGATACATTACATGAGATCTCTTAATCATATTTCTAAAATATCAATTCCCTGCAGCAAGGAAGGACTTGAGAGTGCTTCAGAAGCTCAATAAATCTTGCAAAGTCCTGCCCTCGCATTCCAAGATAAAAGTGTCAGAAACAGATTTTGAACCTGATCTGCTTTTGGCCAAAATAAAGACAGAGGAAGGGATGGATCCCTTTGGAAGAAGTCTCTGGGACAGCCGTGTGCAGGTGGGAGAGGACCAAGTTGTTTGGTTCCTTTCCCAGTCTCTGAGATTCTGATTTTCTATCAATTTTCCTGAGCAGTCCCACTGGCGTGAGACTGACCACCAATGTGAGCACGGAGCCAAGCTCAAGCTCAAGCTCTCGAACAGGAGAGGAGGCAGCAGCCTAAGGCTGTTTTAATTGGAATTTCTTCCACAAGGAGCATTAGAGCTTAAGTTTTCAGAGGGAAAGGCATTAAACATAAAATATCAGGATTCAAGAAACAGTGAGTGATGAAATCTCTATCAGACCTCATAGTTTCTAGCAGGACCTTAAGTCCATTTTAATGTTAGTGCCTAAAGGACAACACAGAAATTTTCAGTGACTTCTGGACAACAGCCGCTTGTGCCAAGCTGCTTCTGCTGGAAGCCACCTCCTCCTCCTCTGGCTACCACCAGATTTTTAAAAGGGTTGGATGATTTTATAGCCTGTTTACTGTAGTAAAATCTCTGCTTTCCACTAATCCAACATTTTACAGCTGAGGAACTCACATGGCTTTACAATGTGGATGCTCAACGTAAGCACAGTGTCACCAACTCACAACAAGCAGGAAGGTTCTGAAGATAAGCAAGTGAGCAGCAGACCTTACATCTTCTGGTTGCTGATTTCCAGTGCATTAAAGAAATGCCATCATGAACTAACTGCCAGGATGCACGTGGCCTGCCCGTGAGGCCAGCAGCTACCCTGCCTCCATGGGCAGTGGTGTTTGGCCAGCAAGGCACGCAGTGCCTGGGATGCCACACGTGTGCCAGAGCTGCAGGCGGTCCCTATCTGCCATTACTGCTGTGTTCCGGGTGTGTTTGCTTTGTCCTTCAGCATCAACAGATCTTTCATACTGCCTATCAAAATGTGAAACACATATTTTCTATGTTTGTCAACTTCAGGAGATTAAATACTGTTGAAGTCGCAGGTCTACCAAAGCAAGACACACTGCCAGTGCTGGTGGTCAGCATTTTACTCTGATAAAACAGCAGAGGAGTGTTTTGGTGCACTGATATGCTTGTACTCTTTCGCGCGTGCAGAAGTTGGTTGTATTTCGACTCCCTAAGAAACACACTTGAAGTAACACTTCAGTGAGATAGCGTGTTCTCTTCTCTGGGACGCATGAATCTGCTGGCACAGTGATTCTGCTCATCAGCCAGATTAAAATGCTGACACACAAAGCCTGGTATCTTTCCCAGTAAGAGAAATGAGTGCTTATACTCTGTTTTTTAACAGGTGATACTAACTGAAGCACAACAATCCATCTCTTACAACTCCTTCACATGGCCAGCTGGACTTGAAGGCTCCCACAAAATGAATGAGCACAGGAAAAAAAATTTAAAAAAAGAAGCAAAAGACAATTTCCTCTTGTATAACCAACAATGCTTTTTCAGACAGTTTCCTCACTTAAAAGAAAAACACAAGAAACATAAGGAAAAGGGGCGCACTGCTTAGAAAAGCCCCTCAAAGCTTTCTCACTAATGGGAAGAGTCACATTGCTTTCAGTTCCCTGCTTTACAACTCCTGTTGAATTGCCCTGGTGCTACTGTTCACACCAGTGAAAGAAAAAAAGGGACACCTGAAAGGCTGTAAACTGCAAGAAAAATGAAAGGGAGAGCCTTTGCTGCTCACCCCCTCTGTGCACAATTCCCCTGTTGGGGAACATTTGGAGAAACCAGACAGTTCTGCTTCCCAGGAAGGTTCTACCTCTGCCATAAATACTCTCCACTAATGTTGTGTTTTACTCTGGGCCTCTTACAGCTTTCAGCATTGAAAAATGCACTGATCACTTCTTTGGGAGATAAGCCAACCTTGTGAGACAAACAGACAGTAAGCCCAGTTTTATTTTTACACTATTACTCATCTGATTAAAGGTCTTCTCAGGTTGGTCCAAGAGAGAAGACATCAGTGCTGACACGCGCAGACACAGCCAATGTGGGTGCCGCGGCTCATCCTCTAACTCCCTGCCTGTGCCACATCACCTGACTGAGGCTCCATACTAACACAAGGAAGAATTCTTTACCGTCAGAGTGATGGAGCACTGGAACAAGATCCCAGAGAGGTGATGGAATTTCCTTCTCTGGAAATATTCAAGACCCATGTGGACACAGGCTGACCTGTGCTACTGCTATAGGGAACCTGCTTGCGCAGGGGAGTTGGATTTGATCTCTAGAGATCCCTTCCAACTCCTGTAATTCTGTGATTCTGCGGACAGCTTCATATTTTGTACTTTTAAATCTACTAAATATCTACAAGTCTTGGGGAATTGACAGCATTGGGCTCTCACAGCAACCACCATAGCAATGCCAAACACTATGTTAAAAAAAAACACACAGCCAGCAATTTTCAACAACTTGTTCTAGGTTGCTCAAACTATCATACATGAATTCCTCTCTTAATCTGGTCAATTTGTTCTTTGTTGGTTTGAACAAATACTTTACTCTCAGAGGAGACTCTTTTCAACAATTTTCTGGGGACAAAGAGGAACAGAACACTGAAAATATGAATTTATAATGAAACTGGAAACAAAGGATCATTAGAATCGCATTACTCAATCAGATCAACCTTGTGCACTGCTCTGTCTCCAACAAAGCCTTAAATATAGCAAAGCGATAATGCTGCTGTTCAGAAATAGTTTGAGGCTTGACATCCAAATCCATAATTCCAGTCACCAAGAATTTCACAATCTTGATTTGAATGACGCTCTATCTTCTTTGTTTGGCAGTCTAGACAGCACAATGAATACAGCGATTTAAACATAATGAATTCTCTCTTAAAACAAAATATTTTGTAAAACTGCTTTTTAATCATTTCTTTTCTCTCTTTACATAAAGGCTATGCTATAAATAAACCCTGAAAGTTCGCATTTGATCATCATTTCTAAAGGCTGGGCAAGAGGCAAGTGAAGGGTTTACACAGAAAAAAATAGAGGCACTGTGGAGCAGAAATAAAAGGATGCATTCATGATTTCTAACCTTTTGTCACAGTGTCAAAGCTGAGACAGACAGAAGCCAGTAAACACTCTGCTTACCACGGAGAGTTAACTGAACAGCATTACCCTAGCAGGGCAGAAGCCCAGCAAACCAAACTCTCCAGGGCCCACCAGTGTTTCAAAGCAAGGTGCCGTTCTGCAGCCCTTCTGGAAAGTCAGTTGTTCAGAGCCATTCACTCGGCGCTGGTGGCTGAACTCTGCTCTTCAGCACCACCTGGGGCACAGCCTAAAATTAAGCCTCCACAGGCAGCAGATCTCCCAGTAATATCATGGTCCAGCTGACGGCTCATGCTGGAAATTTCAATCTTTGCCCTTTTAATGATGGAAAGGAAAAGGTTTTTAACACTATGTTGCAGATGTATGGCAGCAACCTGCTGTGTCATACCAGGAGACACCAGGAAAAAATGTCAGCACAGCAGCAGGAGGAGCAGACAGGAGGTGCTTACAAGGGCTGTCTGGACTGGGAGTCTGCTCTCCTCTGATTCCCAAGTCAATCAGCTCCTGCAAAGGCTGACTCCAGAGCATCCAGTGTCATCCCGTGCCATCCAACAAGAGCAACCCGTCTGCCTCGGGACTGCTGAGGGAGCCCAGGAAGATCAACCTACCTGCAAATAGTCTGTAAGTTCAATTTTCAATAGAGACTCAAGGACTTACGTGGCTGAGTATTACTGAAAATTAATGGGATGTAGGCCCTTGAAAGCATATGACAAATGAGAAATCAGATTTACATACCTCAGCCATAGCTTTTAGGATAAACCAAAGTCATCAAGTAACTAAATCTCGTTGAAATGAATGACCTGGGAACATCAGATCCCTTCAGAATTTACACGTATGCTCTATTTAGGTACCTTAAAATTGCATCCAAAGTTAAAGGGATGAGGCACTCAGGCACAAATGCAATTTCTCAGCTGTGCTCTTTCCACTTACTCATTTGAAAACCCCAAGAAACGTTAGGATTTTTAACCAGTGTCCTTTTTAACAGTAAAACCAATTATTATCTGAAGTTTGACTGCACAATTTCAGTGGCTGGAAGCATTTGGCCTGTAAATATAAAAGCACACATCAAAGCTCACCAGACTGTTTGGGCACACCATGCTTCAGTTTTGAAAACAGCATGGCCAGATACTTGGAAGAGGAATCTTTAGGCAACATGAAAACCAAGAGGTGCACTCAAGTGCAAATTCACCATGCTTTCTCTCAGAATGGTGCTGCTTTATAGCTTGTCCAGTGACAGCCATTGCATCAAGAACGAATCATCTAAGAAAGACACAAAGGATGACAACTAACTGCTGTAAATCAGTTTGCAACCAGAAATTGTAACAGAAGTAATTGAGGAATCTCAGAACAACTGGAATGAGATGCACGGCTTGCTTCTCTTCCCAAGCCAAAGTTAATTTACCTCAGCACTTAGGCAAAAGACAGCAATTATACTCAGTTGTATTG